ACCTTAAAGATTTTATTCACAGGGCTGTATTCATGAAGATATCTTTACGTCACTTGTTAGCAAACAGCGCAAACAACATCCCAATAACAAACAAAGGTCAATTTTGTGTGTGTATGAGAAAGTTCTGTATCAGCAAAGCTCTCATATAATAGAGCTTGTCAATAATGCTTTTTACCGTCTATAGTTGGCAAGGAGATTTTGTTCCATCCTGGCAAGTGATGACATGGCCTCAGTAAAACATGACTTTGTCACCTCCTGGCTGAATTACAGCAGTACAAAATAGGGGGATATGAAGTCATTTGCCTTTATGCCTCTGTTAATACCAGAATGTAGCAAGCCAGCTCCCAAGCAATCCAAGAAATTCTCAAAGTGCTCTTGTTTCTTTCCTTATCTTCCAGGCACTCAGTGCACTAGGCCATTACACCCTGAAAATTCCCTAAGGACTGTAATTCAACATACTTGCTCCTTAACCATAGCCTGTTACCAGGTAACTTTTCTTTCTGTCAGAAAAAAGAGCTGTTCTTTTTTTGTTTAAAAAGTTGCACTTCTTGGCTTTAGTAACAAATGTACATAACACAGCAGACTGAAAGGAACACACTTTAAATAAACAATAAACAGCACAAATTTTCTTTTGGTTTGGAAAGGAAAAATGACTTATAAACAACAAATGGCAGCTGAGTATCTCCCTGAAAAGTGCCACAATAAGAGAGTTAAGAGGAAGATACAAAAGGCCCTCAATAGAACAGAATGAAACGGATCCGGCAGTGGATCCCCAGGAATTTCGTCACTAATGTTAAAGGATCAACACTGATTCTAATTAACAGAGCTCTTCTCAATAATGTATTTGTTTTTATATTGAAAGCTGTGTGAAATCAGTTGTTAATTTAGCTCTCATATTTTTAAGACATGTATTGCAAGTTCTGCAGCTCCAGGCTGCTTGAGCTTTGAGTGCAATCTACATTTAAGAATTTGCTGCAATTATTAAATCATAGGATTCAAGAAGCAGCTGAATTTACAGTGTCTCTGGAAAACCCAGTGAAAACACATACAGACTTCAGACTTATTTGGATAATTTTTGGTTACTTTTATTTAGCCTTATTTGTTCTCTGCCTGCGTGGATCACCTCTAATATCATGCTTCTTTGTGAAGTAGCAATATAGATATGCTAAACATCATACAAAAATTAATTGTCTCTGCTTAAAAAGTGAAGAGATCTTTTTCACATGTGGACAAACTGGGGAAAAAAAAAATGAAAAAGAAAAAGACAAACTTAACAACACATAAGAACCGCACTTCTCAAAGCCTTCCTTTTTATTCTTGTTTCTGGACTCTGATACTCCCTGTACTCCCATAATCAAGACCCTCCTGCTGGCGTCTATGCTGTGTAGGTCCAAATTGACTTTTTAGAGCCTTTTGAGCCAAAGTACACAATCTTATCCAGTCAAACCTTTTAAGCCTGCGCAGTTACACAGTCTGGGTAGGGACAATATAACCTATTGACAAATTGCAGCCTGGGGCAGTACTTTGCCTAGTGAAATTATGACCACACCTCTTTAAATAAGAGCAATGATTTACTCGAATGACCATCTCATATTTCGCACTTCACATCTGTAGACTATTCTGATATATAGTGTCAGACAATGCTACACGATATCTGTTTTCTATTAAACCTTTCAAGTAACAAGCATTGGATACAAAGAGAGAAAAATGGCTAAGGCAGTAATGAACTATCTTAAGTGAAAATAACCCAAGAAGGGAATACAATGATTCACGATTTTGTATATAGTTTCACTAACTGTTACATGTAGAGTTGCGGGCAGCATGTGTACCACCACCAGGTAGGCATAAAGCGAAACCAAACCCAGATGAGCTTTTTCACCAGTCCTGGAACAACAAAGCCCCATTTCCTAAAGAGTTGTGTCCTCGGCCCACTAAAAAGAGGCTCAGTTCAGTCTCCCTGCCTCCCAACACTTTCTGCTCCTTTCTGCCAGTATTCCCAATCTCCTCCTTGTGCCAAACTACTATCTGGGCAAGCAGGAGCGTATTTTGTGCCTGGCTTTCAGTAATACCTAACAACCTAGCAACTATGTGTGTGTTTAACCAGCAGCTAGCATCTTAGATGAGGTAATTCCTAAATAAAAGGTAAGGACTTCATCTCTGTCAATAGGAACAGAAATTCTGGATTTCACAAGGTTTACAAATATATTATCATCTTTTAATGTATAGATTTAACTGGATCTGTTGCAAAGCCAGCTGTCGGGTTCAATTGTTATTTGGAACGAAGGCAATGGAGGAATGCCTGCTCACAATGTATTACCATAGAAAACTACTTTAAAATGCTGAGGTATACCAAGGACTTGCTCTAAGACTTCTGACTGCTCTTGGTTTGAAACAGACAGAAGAAAGTTCAGGGACAGTTGTGAAAGTGGCATGATTACATGTGGTTGTTCAACCTGGAGAAGACTCCAGGCAGACCTTATTGCGGCATTTCACTTCTTAAAAGGGGCCTATAAGAAAGATGGGGAGAGACCTTTTAGTAGGGCCTGTTGCAATAGGATGAGGGGTAACGGTTTTAAACTAAAAGAGGGGAGATTCAGGCTGGACACGAGGAAGAAATTTTTTACAACTGATGTGTTAAAATACTGGCACAGGTTGCCCAGAGTAGTGCAGATGCACCATCCCTGGGGACATTCAAGGCCAGGCTGGATCAGGTGGCTCTGGGCAACCTGATCAAGTGGAAGAGGGGGTTGGACTAGATAACCTTTGAAGGTCCCTTCCAAACTAAACTATTCTATGATTCTACACATTACATCACAAATGTAGTCAATATTACAGTCACAAATGTTACCCTTGAAATATAATTTCTGTCAAAACCACTGTCCGTGACTCGTAACATTTCAGTTTGCCAAGACAAAACTTGGGTAAGCTGTGCATTACTGGAATGGCTTCAAAACCATCTGCAGGCAGAAATTATTTGTAACTGTCTGTTGTTCACAGCTAAAATAAAACTCTCCTGCTACACAGTGTTCTGACACTGCACAGAACTGGCATACAGCTCCCATCGACAGGACCACGACCTCCAAATCAACAGCACACAACTCTGTGCTTACTGTGAACCAGTAACCCAGTAGTGTTTGCTTTCCTAGGGTTTTACTGAAAGTTAAAAATAATACTTTTTGCCGAAGTACTTCCACTTTAACAGGCAGGACTACTTGTAAGCATCAATCCGAGCACATGAGCAGTGGTGGGAAGAAAGGCTGGTTATTAAACTGACTGGTTACGCAACTGAACACTGGAGGTCTGGCCTAATACTTAAATATTTGTTTTACATCAGTGGAATTACATTAAAACACACATTTTCACATGATAAATCACAGTAAATCACACCGCTGAAAGTTAGCACTTCACAGAATGGAAAAGATTTCTTCTTGGCTTTTTCCAGTAGAGTAAGCGCCTCTTCATAACATCAGGTTACACACCATTTTCACCATATACAGATGAAGGCCTGTTTTCTCTTTTATTTTCAGTCCTGGCTGGCTTTTAGCTCACCTCTAGCTACATTTTCTCATCCCACCCCCCTAACTCCTCTCTTTGACAGGTCATGTGGCTGGAGAGCCCTGTGACAGTGCCTCAGCCCTGAGAAGCACACCAGCCTCAGCTGTGTGACAGCCAGATAGGTGAAGGAACTGCCCTTAATTCCTCCAGCAGATACTCACCAGGTTTCTCTACTCAGCTGATGCATTTTAGCCTTGAACTGCAAAATGCCTGTTATGCGTTTGTAAAAGATACCTCCATTAATGCTAAGTATGCAGTTTTACTGTTTATATAAGAATGAAACTAAACACTTTGTGCCTAAAGTATGACTTTGGCAATTTACGACCCATTTCACCACCTTGTCCATGTTCCAACAAGGAAACTCATTATTCAGGTTATGTGTTCAGACAGTACCACTGATTTGCTGCAGGAGGCATGCCGGCAGGGCAGATAATTCTTCACTGCATTTCCTTAGGTCCGTGAGTTGACACACTGGTGTGCTCATAAAATTAGGACTAAATGCAAGACCCATTTCCTCTCATTTAAACATTTACAGTAAGTAAGAACCAGTGAAGAAGTCAAAATATGGACATACAGTATGAACACAGTCTTCTACAGACCAACAGACAGCTGTGAAAGATACCCAGACTCAGGTGGTTCTCCCAGTTCAGAAAAGAAACATCTCCTTAACTGCTTATATGTACTCCATTCTAAGTAGTCAGCTGAATTTGAAGTAATTTTATATTTTCCAGAATAAAGAATGCTGAGGTGCGCTTTTTTTTGATAAATAAATGCTCCTAGTATACAGCCAGTGGTGGGAATCCTGTTGCCTCTGGAACAAAAACACATACAAACACTTCAGCTGCTAGATTTCCTCATATCCATTTTTCTGGGTAATCTGCACTATATAAAAACATGAATTTGTTCAGTGCAGGACAGATGTCCCAGTTCAAGAGAGAATATCCATTCAGAAAGTGATTAGTTTCATGCTTTTTTAAAATAAAGATAAATTTAATAACTTTTTTTTTAATAAATCATTGTCTGATCCTGCATTAATTTCTTGACAGTAACAGGATACATCACCTTACACTGCAAACCTGAACTGCAAACTGGCAAGATTGTCACAAGTCCTATTTTCCTCCCACCAGCTATAGAAAGCTAAAGAAGAAATTCATTTCTCCATTCATTAGCTAGTTCCCTTCTCCCTCTTTTACACTGTTATTCATTCTTTTTTTTCTCCTCTTAGATATTACCTCTCGAACTTAATAATCTAACACTTACTTGCAAAAGTCATTTAATTAAGGAGTGAATCTATGCTGAACAACCTGCAATGCACCCAAGTATATGAACTGCAGTTTTGGGAACAGTTTGTTGACTGTAAATGAAACTTACATTCTGTGAAAGAACTCCTGCTGATAATGAAAATCACAGGTACTCAGCATCTATGGGAAAAAAACTGCAGCATCTGGAATATTTTTAATGGATTTACCAGTGAATATTCCATTCTCAGATACACTGTTACTATTTTTTCCCTTTATTTCTTTACATATTGACATTACTTAAAACCACATATATTTATTCAAGTTATCTTAAAAAAAAACTCAGTAATTTTTAAAAACTGTTTTTTTCAATTTTTACTGGCAGTAACTAAATAGTATCAACACAGAAATACTACATTACACAGTTTCAACTGAGATAATGTCTCACATCTTTTTCTAAACTGCTTATTAAAGAGGGATGGCATTACAAACAAATCCATCTGCTGTGATACCACTGTTCTCCACATTCATTACAAATAACGTAAGTCAACATTTGTTCATCTGGATTTGTGTTTCTCACCCAACCTGGAAGAAAGAGAGTTCCTCTGGTGATCATAGTGACAGTGCAATCAAATTTTTCACAATGCCTACACTTTATTTTGTTTGTCTGTGTGCCATTAATAACTTGTGGAAGCTGATGTTCCCGAACAGATGATTCAGTGTACAGAGCCCTCAGCTGTTTCAGTTCATCGCTGGCCATTTCCATCACTGTCATCTCAGCAAAAGCCTTTGGACTCAAAGTCCCTGAAAAAAGGTTATGTTTTAAGTGGCAACTTTTAGGGTTCTTCAGGTTAGCGATTTTGCTTCTGATGCAATTTTTATACTTCTTGTCATTTTTAGCATGAACATCAAAAATACGTTCTTCGATTTCTTTAGCTAGCTCTAGCCATTTATCAGTTTCTTCTTTGTCTTTGGCAGAACCAGTCAAAGATTTATAAAGAAGATCCGTACATTTACACCTCAGAGCTCTCACTGGATCCTGCTGCGGACTTGCTTGGTTAAGAAGAAGTTTAGAATCTTCATTGTCAGTGTGATATTCCTCAAAAGAAGAAAGCTGATTCATGCTGCCTTCTGCCTCGTTATGTACTTCATTTTTAACAGTTTGTGACAGGACCAACATTTTAGAACTAGAAGCATCTAATGCCTCCTGCTGACATGGTCCTTCAGACAGTGATTGTTCTCTAGGAACCACGCTAAGATGTTCAATTTCCTTTTTCACATACACAAAATCTGACTTTTTAACTTGGATTGATCGAACACAGTTATTCTTGTAAAGTGCTTTCCACCTTGACAGTAACAGCTTTGCTTTCTTTTTTAACTTTGCTGAAGGGCAGCTCTTGAGTACTCTGTATACAGCCTTGGCAACTCCCGTCCTCTGAAGATACTCTGTAGTCATATCAACATCTTCAAGTTCTTTAAGATGATCCTCAATATCCTGGAAAGTGTTCTCAGACAGGAGTTTTTCAATACAATGGGCTCTGTGTACAATATTTTTCTGGTCAGACATTTTGAAACCTGAAAGCAAAAAAATGTTTATTGTATTTATTGCAGTTACGACATTAATTCATTTTCTGTACATTCTCACAAAGTTTTCTTTTTATTTTATGATATTTTACACTATTTTACTGTTTTTTCCAGCTTTTTCTTGAAATGGTGTACAGTAGAGTTAGTGTAGGAAATGCAAAATGCAGAGGAGCTTAGCTCCTGGAAAAATGCAAGTGGGCATGGGCAGTCTAACTCATGCAAGAAGAATACTGGCAAAAAAGAAAGCTTACAGGGACTTCTGCTATAGTAGGGTTAACAACTTAAAAGTAGGGTATGACCCTAATATTCAAGGAAAATAACATGGTCTTGCCAAAACACTGTCTTGCATGCACACCACAACAGAAGTTCTCAGGGAGATTCTCAACTACTGCAAAGTAGATTAATACACAACCACCCTGCTGTATGAGATTACAGGTAGACTTTGCAGTGTTTATGCATTAGTATTATGCATTAGTAGACTCTAGTACCACTGGACTAGCCAGCAGTAGCTAGTTCTGAAATTCGTCATTTTTCACCAAAAGCACCAGATGATCACCTGATGCTGTTCAAAATTAGGCACTGCTATCAAATTCAAGACCCACCTGGACACATTTCTATGTAACCTGTTTTAGGTGGCCCTGCCTTGGCAGCGTGGTTGGACCAGATGATCTCCAAAGGTCCCTTCCAATCCAAACCATTCTATGATTCTCTCATACACTTTCCAAAAAATAAAAAGGAGGCTTTATAGGCAATGTATCTCCCCTTCCACACACATTAGTAGGGTTTTTACAGTTATTGGTGCCAACGAATTATATTTAATAAGAATGTTGGTTTTGGAAGTTTTGTTTTTCTATCACAGAAATTTAAAGTCTATTAAAAGCCATGTCTGGGACCCTCTGCTGTAACAGGTGTGTGAAAAACATAATGACCTCACACTGTTGTATACATTCTGTAATAGCTTCCTGGTAATCTCCAAAGGCAGATTTGTAGGTAAAGACTGCAGTAATTTAATCCTAAAGTTGCGATAATACAGAAGTTTGCTACAAGACTCCAAACCCAGGGAGATCACTGCTGCCATCTTTCCCAAATGCATATGCAAAATCACCCTCATCAGACAAACTGACTTATGTCTCAACTCATTTTTCATAGCTTTAAAGCATCTGACTACAAATGAACTCAGTACAAGTTGCAATGATACAGAATAATAAAAAAATCAAAGTATATCCAAAGCCTCCACACTGTTAGGTGCTTTTCTGGTTGCTGGTTTTTGCGGGTTGTGTGTTTGGCTGGTTTTTGTTTTTTAAATCAGTCATTCCTGTAACTATACCCTAACTCACCAAGATTTTTTCAGATCTTTGCAATAAATGCTGAGATGTTTGGCTATTTGTGGTTTTGTTTTGAATAAAATCTGCAAGTTTCCACTTAGTTTCTTGTAACCCTTCAGTTCAAATCAAATATACAGGTTTTGTCATTAGAAGTCTAATTTGGATTAGAGAACCATGTGTAGCACAGCTATGTTTTTCACGAATCTGTTTGGTTTTGCCACAGTATGTTGTAGCCCGTATAACAGACAATCATTGATATCTGAAGAAATTAGATATATGCATTAATAATGACTCATAAAACATACAAAGTTAGAAAGTTTAAGAAACCTTGCACACTCACATTGTTTTAGTTAGTATTAACTTCTACAGCAGACAGATGAGATACTGGGAATTAGGGGGTTTTGTTTTGTGGGGTTTTTTTGCTTGGGTTTTGTTTGGTTGGTTGGGTTATTTTCATTTCAGACTTTTTCCTCAAGCCTTTGTTGCTTCAAAAGAATAAAATTAAACAGCTAATGGTATCTGACTAAAAAACACTGACATAAATGACTTTTTCAAGCACCTAGTGGAGATGCCAGAGTTTTCAGGCCTTTTGACAAACTTTTATACATCACCATAACTTGATATCAGGCATTTCTTCAATTACTACGCAGTAAGTAGCTGAACACAGTCTATCGGGAACTGTAAAGTGAAGATTTGGGGCTACTCTGCAGCAAGTTGAAGTGACTCTGATATAATACTATGGATCTTAAGCCCAAAATGCCACTCTAGTTCCTACATGACCCTCACTTTTCACTTGCTATGCAAGTGTCGTGGTTTAAGCCCAGCCGGCAACTTGGAACCACGCAGCCGCTCGCTCACTCCCCCCCTTTTCCTTCCTCCCCCCGCTCCCGGAGGGATGGGGAGGAGAATCGAAGGAATGTAACTCCCACGGGTTGAGATAACAGCTCTCCAGTAACTAAGGTATAATACAAACCACTACTGCTACCAATAATAATGATAAGAGGAATAACAAGGGAAAAGGACACAACTGCTCACCACCCGCCGACCGATACCCAGCCCGACCCGAGCAGCGATCTGGGCCTTCCGGGTAACTCCCCCCAGTTTATATACTGGGCATGACGTGCTGTGGTATGGAATACCCCTTTGGCCAGTTTGGGTCAGGTGTCCTGCCTCTGCTTCCTCCTGGCTTCCCCTCCTCTCTGGCAAAGCATGAGACTGAGAAAGTCCTGGGTCAGAGTAAACATTACTGAGCAACAACTAAAAACATCGGTGTTATCAGCATTGTTCCCAGACTGAAAGTCAAAACCACAGCACTGCCCCAGCTACTAAGAAGGAGAAAAAATGACTGATGTAGCTGAACCCAGGACAGCAAGAAATCACTTATTATATCTCTTCCAAAAGTTTCTTTTTACAGCTGCTAACGAAGAGGCAAGTCAGACTAGTAAATTTTTAACTGATGTTCCCACTGTTGCCCTTCCAGCTCAGCATAGTATTTCAGTTTGATTATCAAGGAAAGGCAGCTCAAAACCAGTGATATCTACAAAACAGTTTCAAAATGGTGAAATCTACAAATTCCTAATTGTTATTTTTGAAAATTCTTAAAAAGTTAAAAGACATATCCCTCTATCTCCTAAAGAGATTACAGCCACAGAATTTTTCTTACAGCCACAGAATTACTAATGCATGCTTCCATATATTCTGACATGTTAAAGAAAAACAAAAAGAAGACTTCAGAATGCAGTCTCATGGCTTGAATATTTCCTTTTGATTCCTTTTTATCAAGCCCTTTCACCAAAAAAATGCTCAATGCATTGCTATTGTGAAATGTACACATAAAAAGTGTTAATACTACTAACATTATTCTCCTGTTTGCTGAAAAAGAGAATTAAATGTAGAATGCAGAAGTGAATGCTGTTAATTTAGGAGTTTGTCTTCTAAACTTGTGCGCAAAACCAGTTTTTTGTCTGAAGTTACATACATCCTGATTCTACTCTAGAAAAAGTCATCTGCCTGATAGACTGATACAAGACTAGCTACCGTTGTCCGTATTTAAAAGAACTCAAGCAGATTTCTCGCACCATCATTGTTTCCATGATGAAATCTCCCAGAGAATGGGGGGAGAGAAGGGACAACTGATACAGCTGGGTGATTTGCATGCTCTGTTGCTTTCTGTAACCACCAGCCCAGCTAACCTGTTTCATGCATGACAGAAATAAGTTCAAACCTTAGGTAGGGCCTCAGAGCTCCACAAAAGAAAAGGACAGAGACAGAGAGCATGAACCTTCATTTGTTTCTACAATCCTTAACCACAGACCAATCTGACCTCCAAAGTAAATGCTCTCTGCATTCACTTAATGTGTATTTAAACAGCTCCTTCTTGTCTCGACATTCTGAAGTCCTGCAAAACCTCAGTAATGGCTATTACAGGAACTGATTTACTAGTCAAGACATTTCAGAACTAGAGAAACAGGATGCATTTTTAAAATACTGAAGTTGAACTCCATGCTTCGTTATACTGAAAAGCACATATAATTGTATCTAATCATCTGTTCTGCTGTAGGACCACACAGAAGCTGTAAGAGTAGAAAGAGATGTCTTCTTACGCAGGGCAGTCATCACTACAGCAGGACAGTTCCCTGTCTCCAGAACACCAAGTAGCTGACATCAGAAAATGATGATCTGCTGATCTACTGCTTTTCATGCAGCCAGGGCAGAGCTGATGACACAGTTACATGCTCAACCAGTATGATTGCCCTATGCCTTGGAAATGATGCATAAACTCCATGGAGATCATCTGCTTCGTGGTAGTGGTCCTTGCTCATGGTTATCCACCTGATCCTAGGCAGCCCACCAGGGTGGCAAGGTGAAAACATGCCCATTTCTGTGGCTAATCTCACACAAGAAAACTATATGGCTGAGAAAGACTCCTTTGGCTCCACAGCTACGAGTAGGCATTGACAGCTGGGGTGACTAACACAAAACCTTTGAGAGGACCTGGAGCCCACACACTGGCATCTGCTGATAACACCGATGTTTTTAGCTGTTGCCCAGTAATGTTTACTCTGACCAAGGACTTTCTCAGTCTCATGCTCTGCCAGGGAGGAGGGGAAGCCGGGAGGAAGCAGAGGCAGGACACCTGACCCAAACTGGCCAAAGGGGTATTCCATACCACAGCACGTCATGCCCAGTATATAAACTGGGGGGAGTCACCCGGAAGGCCCAGATCGCTGCTTGGGTCGGGCTGGGTGGGTGGTGAGCAATTGTATCCTCTCCCCTTGTTATTTCTATTATCATTATTATTTGTAGCAGTAGTGGTTTTGTACTATACCTTAGTTACTGGAGTGCTGTTATCTCACCCTGTGGGAGTTACATTCCTCTGATTCTCCTCCCCATCCCTCCAGGAGCCGGGGGAGAAAGAAGGGTGGAGAATGAGCGAGCAGCTGCGTGGTTCCGAGTTACCGGCTGGGCTTAAACCACAACACTTACACTTACTGGACACCTACAGCTACTCAGAAGGAGCTGATGTATGCTAATTCACCACCCCACACTAAGATGCTTTTTCGCTAACAAGCAGATCTAAGACAAACTAGTTTAGTCTTTTATTTTTTAACCCTCTACCAGATATATAAAAGGCTGGTTTAGAGTGGGTTAAATGCAGTA